AGAAATTAAACATCATTTCATTAGAGATCATGTCTCAAAAGAAGATATAGTTCTAGAGTATGTAGATCATCAAGGAGCTGATTTTTTTACAAAACCTTTAGACCAAGAAAGATTTTGGGCACTTAGAAGAAAATTAGGTCTAACCAACCTACCTTGACTTTCAATTTAAATATTTTTGCACTTTTATGATTTTATGAAAAATGCATGAAAAATGAACTATTTAATGTCTTCTATGCTATTAGTTAGGGGGAGTTTAAAATTTTCATGAAAATTAATAATATGATCAAATTATACTTAAATGTATATTTATTTTCTTGAACATATTTGCTTTGCCCAATTAGAGTTGCCTACACCACTATTTATGCTTTAAAATATGCATCATATTTGTTTTTGTTACATTTTTGAACCATTATGTACACTTAGTATCGATATTGTTCATCCAATACCAATACTGTTCTTTGTTAGTATCGATATTGTTCATCTAGTATCGATATTGTTCTTGCAGCCTTGATAGGGTATCGATATCAAATTTTTACTTTGAAGTATCGATACTCCCATTGGAGTACCGATACTCCCCGTCGGATTTAGCTTATAAAGCCCTAAAATCACATTTTCTTCCCCCACTCTCTACCATTCCATCCGAAAACCTCCAATTCCCTCTCAAACATTACTTCATCCCATCATTTTGGAGTTAGTTTTTGTGTTTATTTTCATCATTCTAACCTACTAGTATCATCAAATTTGTGCATACATCATCAAATTCCATCTCAATCCTACTATTTCAAGATAATTTTTTTTCTAAAACCCAAACTTTTTTTTTGAATTTAGGGCTAGTTTTAGTTAGTTTTTGCTTAAATTAGTGAATGTGCTTCACTTATTTTGTATTTATACACTAGAATATACATTTTTTTTAACAAATTTCTTCACATTCAAAATTTTTAAAAATAATAATTCATACTTATATACACGTTTGCTTTTATATATACTTTTGTTTTTCTTAGCACCATTCTTCTTTTGGCCCATTATATTAAAAAAATAATTTAGTTATATAATGCCTTGGATTGTGGACTCATATTGAGTTTTGGGATTCATTGATTGCATACATATATATTGTCTTTCTTTGCAGGTTTTACCTTTATCCCGACTTACCATTTCTCACAAACGTCCTCGATCATCTTCCTCTCGTGCTAATCCACCTCCCAATCCTCTGTCAAATCCTCTTCTCATTCTAAATGAAACGACCATCGTGAATTCGTGTTTTAATGAACCAAATCATCACAATCTCTATTCACGATATCTCAACCATTTCAAAACTTATGCTCTTAGGGGTGACCGTCTTCCTTCAATTTCGGCAATGAACGCCATAAATTTTAAATACCTACCCCTTCTCAAAGCATGGAAATTTGACAGCACGTTCAAATTCAAACACGTTGTCTATCACCCACTCATCCACATTTTCTATTCTAATGCGGTTTGTGTCCAAAACGAAGCTCGTACTCACACAGAAAGTATTCGTTCCTATCTCTTGGGTGAATACATTACTTTTGATTCCGACTCTATTGCTCGTGCTTTTGGTCTATAAAAGATCGAGATTGATAACGAGCGAGACACCATCCCTTCATCTTTAGAAGTAGGGAAGAACACAAGCGTCATTGACTTTCATGAGAGGTTCATTCACTTGATTATCTCTTGGTGGTTTCGACCATCCGGAGGCAAATATTCATCTTTCTGAAGCATTGCCATATGGTGGATCCATTATTTTCAATAAAATAAAAGAATTAATCTTGCTCAAATCATCTTCGGTGAACTAGTGAACACTGTGAATCATATTCCTTCTAAGACGGTTGAATATTTGATTTATGGTTGTCTTTTTAGTATTTTCTTTATAAAATCCGGTCTTAAAGTCGATCTTCATGCTGCTATCCACTTGGGTACCCCAGTCGATCTTACCTCTCTCTGCAAGTCAGGATGGACTCAAGTTGGAGAAAATTGGGAAATGAAACCAAAAGAGACACTTGGTGCTAGTTCATCTCGAGCGGTTCTAGCTCTAACTCCACCTCAGGAGGAGGATTTTTTACATGATGTTGATGATCCCGTAAATCGATTCCCCGACGAGCCTCCTAGCACTGGTAGTGCGATGCCTCCCTATTTTCAATCCATGATGAAGACATTAGATTTAAGGTTTGCATCTATGGACTCCCACTTTTCTACCTTGGAAACTCAGGTGTTCGAGATGCAAGCAATGCATATGGATTTTCGATGCATCATCCTAGAATGATTGGACACGGTGATGGATAGGTTGGATGCTCTTTCTCGAGACTTTGCCTCTTTCTGTGCACCCCCTTTAGATCTTGATCTTTGTCAGATGCTTGATGATTTTGCTTTGCTAGTTGCTTTTTCGTTGGTGTTGCAATGTTATACTTTGAACTTACATTTTTCTTTGAATTTCTTAGCCTTTGATATTTTGGACTTGGTAATACTTTTATGTTTTGGATGATCGGATTTATGTTTATCATATTTCACATTTTTTAGCCATGTTTCCACTTATTATGACCATGCCCACTATATTTTGGATATTAATTATGTTGACTGACCTATTTGGTACATTTGTTCTTCACATCTATATTATATATCTTGCTTATTCTTTAATGGATCTTTTTGATTTAACAAAAAGGGAGAGATATGTTAAAGCAAAGGGGAGTATTTTTTCAAGTAAACCTGGGAGTATTTTTTCCAAGTAAATCTTAAAATTTTTATTATATCAAAAAGGGGGAGATTGTTGAAAACACTTTGATATTTTGATATACAAACAAAATTGTTAATTGGTTTTTACAAATTTTAAGATTATATTCAATTCAGTCATTCAAATATATAAAATTATTCTTTAAAGTTAAGATGTCAATTTTTACTCCCCACTATACTGAAAATTTGAGTCCTATACAGGAAATATTTTTGAAATAATTTTTACCAAGAGTTTCAAACTTTAATCGAGTCAAAAATGATTTTTAAGCATAATAGTATTGATACTACTAGAACAATACCGATACTGTTCAAGAACTATCGATACAAATATCGATGCTGAAGCGCAAAACAATGATGTAGTATCGATACTACTTAGTGTAGTACTGATACTCTTAGTGATGGTACTGATACTCTTAGTGATGGTACCGATACTACCTTTTTGGTTTCGAGTCCGTTAAATTCCAGTTTACTAAAATGGTAATAATACTATGTACAATATCGATACTACTGAATATAATAGTACTAATACCCTTGTGACAGTATCGATACCGGAGGTTCCCAACGGTCAAACTTTTGTATTTAATGTAGGGAGTATCGATGCTGATAGACGGAGTACCGATACTACAAGCTTCTGGGCAGCATTTAATGCGAGAAACTGCCCCCAACGGCTCTATTCACTCCCACAACAACTCAAACGGTTGGAATTGATTGAGGGAGTATATAAACATGATCCCAAGTCATTTGTGAATATAAGAGACAAAAGAGAAAGTCATAAACAACAAATTTGAGCCAAATCAAGTCAACATTCTTGAATATTCTTTTTGCTTTCAAAGAACACTACATGTACTCATTTGTATTCATTTCTCAAGTGTTCTTATTTGTTCTTGAATTGTGCAAACACATTCCTAGTGAGAATTTTATAAGTTTGCAATTTGTAATTTTCTCTTTAAGAAATTGTCTTAAGAATTTGGGGTATAATTTTTGAGGGAGTTGTAAGGTTACACCTTATCCTCAAAGGTAGATACAAGTTAGTGAATTTGTGGAAATCCTTAGTGTGGATAGCTAAGGTAGTGGATGTAGACTTTGGTTGATAAAGTCGAACCACTCTAAATTCTTGTATTCATTTGTTTAATTTTTTCTCTTAAGCTTCCACCAAATTTTTTTATTGTTAATTCATCCCCTCTTGGCTATTTCATCCTTTCGGTTGACTCAACACAATTTCTTAATTTGCCCAAAACTTCATACAAAATAATTTAATAAATCTAATTATTAAATACAAATAACCTCCTACATCGTACAAATAAGAACGCTAGAAAGTAAAAACAACAACAAATTTCATTAGCAGATTTGGAAGAAAATAATCTAATGAGAGGTTTTGAAAATAAGTTGTGAAATTTTTGAAAACAATATTGTTTAGTGCTTTAAAGAAAAATTCATGTGAAATTTCAACAATGGGAAGTTTGAAAATATCCTCATGGAGGTTTTAAAATATCACACGTGATGTTTTGAAAATATAAATGCGAATTCCTTAAATTTCTCCTTAACAAAAGTTTTAACCAATGGTGAAACAATGAGATTGATGGTAAAATCGGTGAGATTATCAATTTTCGACTCAATTAATTTAAGGGTTTAATAATTAATTAACTAAATTTATAAATATTGTAAATTTTATTTTCCAAAATATGGTTCAGCCATTTGATTCAAATAAGCCCAGAACAGAGAGGTTTGAATAAAATTCTCCTTTGGTGATATCATTAAAGCAGGCGAGAATATTCATAAAGACTAGTATTTCAGGTTTTGACCAATCACCCACCAAAATTCAAGTTCTTCCTTTCTAACAAATGATTAACAAAGAGAGATAACCAATCACCACCAAGGCTGGCATAGAAGGAAACATGAACTACTCCTAGAAAACCATGCCACATGCGCTTCACTGTGCTTCGCCCTACATATTGAAATCCATTGACCAGAAACAATAGCGCGTTGAGTCTCCTAAGCTGGATGGTTTCAAGAAATTTCTTGGATTAAAACAATTATTATAATTCTGACTACTTTTCTCCTCCTTCACTTGGAACATCTACTTTTCAAAAATGGGTTTGGAACGACGTCATCTACAGTTCTGCCGTGTCTTCCACGAACCAAACGCTCACTTTATTTTCTGACCTGGCTCACCATAAATACGTGTGTACCCTCCAATCGAAGTTGAAGCAATCAAGAGTTGCCTACACACTTCTTTGTTATTAATCACTCATTTCCATTCTCAAAGCTAGAAAATGAAGGTTAGATTTCCATCTTTGCCTTTCTCTTTGCTTTTCAACACGCACATAAACATAGAAAAGCATGAAAGCTAACGACAACTGGTTTTTTTTTTTTTTTGACAGAAAGTTGTGCTGAAATTGGATTTGCACGACAACAAATGCAGACAAAAGGCCATGAAAACAGCCTCTGGCCTTTCAGGTCTGTATATTCGGTCCTAGTTTCTTTCACTTAATATTTTTCAAAACTAACTTGCATACGCTTAATGTTGCAGGGGTTGAATCAGTTTCCTTCGACACGAAAGACCAAAAATTGACAGTGATAGGAGACATTGATCCAGTGAAGGCAGTGAGCAAATTAAGGAAGCTTTGTCATGCTGAGATAGTTTCGGTTGGACCAGCAAAAGAACCAGAGAAAAAGAAAGAAGAGCCAAAGAAAGAGGAGCCCAAGAAAGTAGAAGAAAGTAAGAAAGATGCCCCAAAAGCACCTTCAGCTTACCCCTATCCGATGGTATATCATCCTCAAATGCCCATATATAACTACGCTACAGTGCCCGATTACTACAGTGGCGGTAAATATGTTCAGGATGAACCAGCTGGTTGCGTTATCTGCTAGAGGAAGATGATGAACAATATACTGATTGCCTTAACAGTGAGATGGGTATCTTTATAACATAAACATATCTTCATTTTATGTACCCTTAATTTGTAATTCTTATGTGCATTTACTTTTTTTAAGACAAATAGAATCAGAACATATTTTTTTGAACAAATTTATGAAGTTAAATTATGATTCTCAGTTCTCAAATGGATCACTATGAGAGCTACTTTTGTTAGTGTTTCAAAAAGCAATTCCCTAAGCAGATTCTTCTTAAGTGTACAAAAGGTTAAACCTCCTACAATATGTAGCGGAGATAAATACGTGTTGATCGTGTATAATTTTATGCATAATCAATAAGTAAATAAATAAATTAGATGATTAAATATTGCTAATTTTATACATCATCAATAAATACGTGTTTTAAAGAACATAGGATGAGATCAATCAGGATTCAGATATATTAATTGATAGCCAAGAGGTTGTTTCACAGACATACGCATCGATCCTAGCTGGTAAGCCGAGCCGCGTCTCTGAAAATGGTGAAGCCCAAGAGGAGGATGAAGAGGACATTGATATCACAAACGAAGACATCATAACTTGAACTCGTTTTGGGCTCCCATCTATCTAGTTCTCAGATCGAGCGTACAAGCAAATGGAAGCCAGTATGACCAGAATAGTTGTGCTGAAGCTTCCAGGATGAAATATTGGCTTGAATGCTCTTACAAATAAAGCTTATGCGCTCTCGCTCAACCATTTACGCTCATGGATCTCAAGAATGATTATTTCTTAGCAAGGTTTCAACTGGATGAAGACTAGAGAAAGGTTCTGGCTGAAGGACTTTGGATCATATATGGCCAATATCTGGCAGTCCAACCATGGACAATGGATTTTAGTACTTCCCAACCCTACCCCACTACGGTCATCGCTTGGATCCGATTTTCAAGACTCCCCGAGTATAAAAAATTAGCTGACTCTATTCCCATATGTAATGGGATAAGAGGGAGGTAGGGTAATAGGCTGCTCCCGAGTATAAGTATAAGAATTTAATTTTGATGGGCATTGGCAAGCTAGTGGGGTAGGTGGTGAAATTAGACTTCCATAAAAATACCTGCAATAGAAGACGATTTGCCCGATTGGTTGTGTACGTGAACTTGAAGCAACCCTTCGTGTCTCGAGTGGTCATTAGAAACAAAATCCAAATTATTGAATATGAAAACCTCCCACTCATTTGCTTTTCATGTTGGAGATTTGGTCATATGAAGGAAACTTGTTCCTTCTCCAGCCTAGAACAAAACGACAGAGATAACATGACTATAGACCAAAACTTGAATCCTCATGTTGCCAATTCCAGTAGAAGCATACAGACAAACTTGACCACTAACAACTCTAAACCGGTGAAGGACGAATTGTACAGTCCTTGAATGATTGTTAAGAAATGACACCGGCAACCACTTGTTGGAACAGAGAAAAATGGAAACTAGCAAAGATACCACCAATTTCAGCTCCCGATTATAGGCGTCGAATGAGGATCTCACTTTCAAAGGAAAGTCAAAGCAATCTCCAAGAGAGAAAAAGCTAGGAGAGAATAGTGAAGATGTTGCTCTCATAATCTATTCTAAAAATAAAGAGATCCCCTATGAGCTAGCCGTACCTCCCTTTCTATTGGTAAACCGACGACCAAAACCTGAGGCAAAAATCACGCTCACCCAAGACCACAAATTGCTAACACAACTTACCATTCACAGAGACCAAGAGGCAAACAAATAAACCAACTCGTGAGGTAGGTCCCAAGAAAGTCCAAATAACAGGACATAGACCTGTGGAAAACCGTTCCCCATACTTAGGCCCACATGGAAATCCATGCATGTACTCGACGTTAATGTACCTCTTCAAGCTGCCACCTCCACGACTCTCTGGAAATGATCATACTGTACCTACTGAAAACTCTCTAGGTGTAAAAGGGCAGGTTCTTCAGACGACCCTTGATCCCAACTTACACAAGGTGGTTACTTCCCATTTGAGCTCCCTTTCGTCGGATACCCCCCTTGAACCATCAAACTTCTTTAGTGTTCACCGCGGGTGCAAAGCTAACAAGATTATCGTAAAGCTCTGTTTTGAGTTCTCTTCCAAGGTGAAGACCATTGGATTCTTAGGAGGAATCTGGATCTTTTGGAATTCTTCTATTTTGGTTAACGTTTTGGCAACTCATCCGCAATATATCCATACAAAAGTTACTGGTACAAATGGTCTTTCTCCCATTTTGGTAACCGTTGCCTATGGTAGTCCTGACAGGTATAAACACAAAGCTCTTTGATGGGATCTTAGTGGCATTCAAATTGGTAACGGCATCCCCTGGATTTTAGGTGGGGACTTTAATGCCATTCTCTCAAGCTCAGACAAGGCAGGAGGTAATCGTAGAGGAATGAGGTGTAGACATTTTTCAAGAGTTCTTACACCAACACAATCTTATGAATCTTGTCTTTAAATGAAATCGTTTTACTTGGATGCGTGGAAGGACCTTTTAACGCTTGGACAGAATGGTCGCCAATGACAATCGGAACATAATAGCTCCTATTGCAACTGTTTATGATCTTCCCTGCTTAAAATCAGATCATAGACATATTCTACTTCGTTCCTCAAACATGTCGAACAGATCTGTGTCGAGACCGTTTCTTTTTTTGCAGGTTGGACAAAGCATCATAAGTTCAAATCCTTTGTCAGAGATAATTGGTATGCCGAGTGCAATATGCATATTGCTATTAATAATTTCACTGAGGCTCTTAGATATTGGAACAATGATGTCTTCGGCCATATTATTCAAGAGAAGAAAAAACTCAAAAAGGAAATAAAAAAACTCAAAGCAAATATCCTATGTTCAAGCGATGATGGACAAGAATGCTAATGAAAACCTTCAAGCTGTGGAGATTGACTTGCAAACCAATTTGAAGGAAATCCTTGGTCGTAAAGAATTATTATGGAAACAGAAGTCAAGAAACACCTGGTTGGCAAAGGGTGACCGAAATACGAATTTTGTTACAAACGTGCTCTCTCTAGGAAGAAAACTTGCAAAGAGTGTTTTTATCATTTCTCGACTATGTATTTTCAGCTCTTTAAAGCCAAAGTGTCTGATAAGAAAATCAAACGTGCTCCTTTTGATATGAATTTGCTCAAGTCTTCGGGTAAGGATGGACTCCATGCTCTTTTTATTCAAAGCCAGAGGGATACAATGGATAATTCGGTATGCAACTAGGTTAAGGATATCTTTGATGGTAAACCGATGAAGCCAGAGCTTAATAAGGCTATTTTGGTTCTGATCCCAAAAGTCAACAGTCCTAAATCTTTCTCTGACTTCAGGTCAATCAGTTTGTGTACTGTTCTTTACAAACTGGTGACGAAAGTTATAGCTAATAAGTTCAAAGGTATTTTTTCTAAAATTCCGCCCTCATTCAATCTAGCTTTATTTCCAGTCAGAACACTACAAACAACATTTAAATAGTGCAGGAGGTCATTTACTCTATAAGAGAGAAGAAATTAGGGAAAACTAAATGGATGACTTTGGAAGTTAATCTTGGGAAGGCCTACGATGGAGTTGGGTAGGGTTTCCTCTCTGATTACATTTCGGATATGGGGTATCCGAAGAATATTCATCGTATTCATGGACCCAGTCACTTATTTTTCTTTTTAAATTTTCCGGAATGACTCTCTCTCGGATCAATTCAACCCTAATAGAGGTACTCTCCAAGGGTGTCCACTCTCCGCTACCTCTTTGTTCTTTGCATAGAATGTCTGGGTCAAAGCTTTCACTGTGCCTGGGACGTCGACCTTTGGAAATCGATTATCCTCTCCTATGGGGGACCTCACTTATCCCATTTATTCTTTGCTGAAAACTTGATTCTTTTGTACAAAGCAACAAAAAGTTAAGCGAACCGTGTTGCGCAATCCTTGAAATGAACCCAAGTCGAGTTGGTAATTAATACAAGAAGTTTAAAACAAAAACAATAATTATAGTAAAATCATAAAATGCATAGAAACCTCCTTAGAGATAAAAATGACAAAAAAGCCTCGAGTGTTAAATGACTAAAATAGAGGAACTTAATGAACTAATAGATGTGAAAGACTAATAAACCCTTGCAACATTTTAGATTAGAGAATGAGTGCGATATTATCAGCTAGTGAGGGATGACCTCACTTAAGTGTGACGAGTTATGCTAGTGTGTAGCTAGGCTACCTTAGTTGTCCTAATGGGACATTGTTAGTGATGTGTGACCTTTGGGCACTTAGATATTCATATGTAGTTTTATCAATATAGTACAAAAAATATCCTTAAAGTTTGGCTTGATTACTATGTGAGGCCGAGCCAATGCTTCAGTTGAGCATGAATTATACCGAGGCTATGTGATTATTGGGTTTTTCTCTATGATATACTTGAATGTTTTGTGAGATTAGGAGATAGTTCAATAGCTTAATGGGAATTTTAACGATGTTATGTGATTACAGAGTTCCCTTAGTTATCTAGTATCTAATAGCTATATGAGACCGGATACTAGAAATGTATCATATGTGATTACCGATGTTTCCATTTGTGGAGCACCGTCGTCATAGGATTTTTAGTATCTCTTCTCGAGTATTATACTGTAACTTTTAGTGGGCATGTGTATTCATAGGACCCTTACTTATGTTTTTGGATTATCAAACTTTGAGTTGTATTACTTGATATAAACTATGTGTCACGGAGCTCCAATTTGTAAATATGTTTTTATAACTATCATGCATGTCTATTTTGGTACCATATAGTACGTTTTAAAAAGAAATAAAAAAAGTTTTTCTTAAATCAATGGTTGCCCTAGCAGCCCATATAGCGCTGTAGGCCTATTCAGGTTTAGGATGTTATATTTATTGGTATTAGAGCTTAGGTTGAGTCCGTCTTAGGATCTAGTGGTTGGGTATAGTGAGATGTCAGTGAATACATGCCCTTAGTACTGAAAGTACTTGTATAAGTTTGGAATCCTGATGGTTCTTCCTTTTTTAT